AGCTAGTAGTAGTTAGAAAAAGCTAGAACTAACTGGAAACAAGGTAGAAGTAACTGGAAATAATGTAGAAGTAACTGGAAACAAGTTGGAATTAACTGGAAATAAGATAGAATATAAGGTAGGAGTACTTCCTCTGGTATCCAGTTACCGCACGTGGTACAAATTACAATCATGGATTGGCTTGATGCCTCATGAATTATTAATGAGTATGAGAATGCAACATATAATCCCCACGTCGTTATAAGGTCAACTGACACCTGTACGATTTGTCGCGCGCGACTTGTAGTATACGATTTTCCTACTAGTAGGAAAGTCGTAGGATTTTAAGCAGTGGTTCAAAAACCTACTACAAGTCGTAGGTTGCGTACGAATGTTGTAGACAAGTCGTAGGGGCATTTACACTGCGCGATTCAAGCCGTATACTACAAATCGCACGAGACAATCGTGCCGTRCAAATCAGCCYTAAAAAGACATCACTTTAAGTCTTGTAGCAATGAAGTTTCACTAACATTGAAAACGAGTTAAAAGGTAAAATGAAGGCGCGGAAGTTCAAGGTCTATTATTTTTGAAAATTGCCCGAAAAAATCGTTCGCGATTTCTGTTTTTTGTTGTCACGATACGTCATTGATTTTACTGGGATTCAAATTAAAGTTTTGCAATAAAGTTCATGCATAACTTCATTATATTACTGACAAATATGCAACGGCTTTTTTTATTTTCTGATCTTTCTTTATTTTCTACGATATAGAGGAAGAGAAAAGAAATAGGTACTAATAAGATATACTAGCCGGAAGGGCTGATAAAACTGTACTACCGGCCACGAGCCATGGTTATCATACTGTAAGAACAATAATTGAGARRGTAACATCGGTCCTCTCACTTATGATGGCCAGCAATTTTTGAATTAAAGGAAWWCTCAGGAAGAAAATTACTGACAAAAAAAWTTACTGGAAAGATATCSAATCATATRAAGGCAATAAATCTTGTCAATTGCTTTTTGCGGAGCCTGGGATCGAGTGAAAGCGCAACACATGAGTCTGGCGCGAATCAGTCCTTGGTCGACYAAGCCGAATCAGCTAAAATCCTTTCAGTTAAGCATCTWTATCGGAAACAACTGAAGTGTTCTATTGTACATGGTTTTATCTATTATGGGGTATATTTATGTTGTTGCTTCACTATTCATCTGTAACTTTAGTGTAACAGGTAGGTGCAATTGGTATTAAATTGTGAATAAAACCGTTAGATGCCCTTATTTCAGCACCTGCCCGCTTGGCATTTAGCTGAGAATATATATTTYTGACTCCTTGTTTTTGTGAGTTTATAATTTTGTGTTCAAAGACGACGTCCTTGCCAAAAGCGTCAATTCTTTCTAAGAATAACATTGTAAAAGCGTTAAATTCTACAGAAATAACTAAGATAGTAAAGTAATATAGTACCTGCTTTTAAACACCATTTTAACACCTTCTTTTTAGCATTGATTTTTACGCAAAAAARTTGAAATTGTCTATGATATAAATCTTTCTATTCTGCTGATACGAGCGTGTATTTTACCGAATCCAACGATTTTTTTTCCAATTCTACTTGAGATTTTAATATATATCTGATATATGATTTATAAAACGTCGTTTGTCAATCTATTGTTTACTTTCAATAGGCGCCATCTTTGTCTTTTGTTTTCATTGAAAAACTACAAAAGATATATAWTAATCAAAAATTATTTTGTAAACGATTGTATAATCTAAAAATCCTGACGCTCAATTCAAATGAAACCACGATGCAGTGAATAATATAAACCTGGCGACACTATATAACTTAGCCAGATCTTTCAGCGATACTTTACCTACTTTATAGCTTATCGAGATCTTTCAGCGATTCTTCAACGATACTATAACAAAACTATCATTCAGTAACGTCTTGTTATAGTTCCCCGAAGGACTCTAACGAGAAATATGACATAGAAAACGTTTACTATAAACTAAAACAGTGATATAATGACTATAAAAGTCTAGTGATTTAGTTAAACACTCATCAAGCAGATTGGTTTATTTAATAGCCTTTTTTTAAATTACTAGCTTGAATATCAAGTAGAATGTTTCACAAATTTTCAGAATTTATATATTTAATATTAATCGAGATACGTGAACCCCAATTAGACAAAAAGCTGGCCATTTTCGGTTAGTCTATCTTAAAATCCTATCCAAGTTAGAAATTTATTGCTATTTTTCAATTTGATCGTGTCATTGCAAATTTTGAAAAAATAATATTATTATTGGCCTGGCATAGAGGATACTATGATGACGTTACGAGGAAATACGGCTGGGATTTCACCATTGAGYGTGGAAAAGATCTCTCACGAGTGAGGGTAGCGAACGAGTGACGTCACGAMCATCTTGTTGCCATTGAACAGTTTAGTCATCCGAATTTTCCTGGTTTAATTTGGAATCCGAATTACATATAATGATCACAAATTGATTTTTTTTTTCTTATACATGAATATACACTAAGTGCAGTGAAAAATAGATTAAAGAACAATTTGTACGTTAGCAAAAAGGAAGTACGAACAGTACGAAAAGTCAGTCGGAACGTTTTCTTCTGGAGTTATTTGTACGCTCTTTCCGTGTTGATTTAAATCTCTGGAGTAAAAAAATAGTCGAATTGTAGAGTATATTTAATTCTCTCTAAAGTTCCACGAGGTAGAGAGTAATTTTAAYTCCATTGGTGGAGTTATTTCAATAACAGTGTATCATCTGACACTAAGATAAGATAATTTAGCGCAAGATTGTTGTGGAACACTCTCTTTTAAAAACGCGTAGCCTGCTCACGAATCAATCTAATACAGCAGTCATTGTGTAAGGAAGGCTCGGATCTTCTTGCTAAATGTAACAAATTGGATATTTCGTTAAGGAAACAACCAGCACTTTTAAAGTCTTTTAAAAACAGTTTTTTTTTTAATATTTTTGAAAAACAGAAGAATTTGTTCCATTTTAATCCTTAGTGTTTTAATTAATAGTGTGATAATACAGTGTTTAATGATTTTGTAAATAGTTATATTTTATATTTTATATATTCATAAKAGTTTTAGTATTAGTATAGGASGGTYACAAGTTTATTAGTATTGTATACTATTACTACGTGTTTACACTCGTTAAATAAACTAAGTCCTTACTTACTCACTTACTATATGTTGGTCCGGCTGACTCAAATGGAATAACCGAACAGGATATTACATTAATTAATCTTGAAAAGTTATCCTTCAGCGTGTTAGTGAGTTATAATATAGGAAATACGGTCAGATACTGTTGTTTAAGATAGTAAACGTTTTACACCACCTGTAGATCAGCAAAACTTCGTCTTTACCATCTAACAGCAGTATCTTGCTGTATTTGCTTTTATTGTTTTACTAGTACTTTTCTTAAATTGGAATGAATATCTACACAGGTGGAAATGTCATATTGCATTTCGTGGGAGACATAAGTTTTGACGGTGCTCCAAGCTACTACCACAGACACGGATATTGTTCCTATAACAATACCTTTGCAAACGTTGCAGCTGTGTTGAAGCAGTCAGACCTTGTGATAGGGAACCTAGAAAGCCCGTTCGTACGCGACGATATGCGAAAAGATGCTCTGACTGGCGTCTTTCCATTACTGAGTGCTGAATCTAACACCGTGGAAGCTTTGAAGTAAGTGTACAACATGTTGCACAAGTGGGTTGATACAAGCGACATGGAATACCAACCAGTCACATTGTTCCTTTTAAATGTCAGCCATTTTATGCCGCTATTAATCAAGTATCAGCGCTGAGCTTGCTGTTTCTGCTTGGTGCGTCTGCATCAATTGTTGTAGTGTCATCTTGCTTTGGATTTTCGGGCCCATGCCCCTTCGTCCGGTTGGGAAACCTCTCTCCTCCCAAGAGCAGTTTCAACATAAATCACTTACTACTGACTAATTCCAGGAGGAGCCGACCAGGTCTGCTCTTCTAAATAACTGTTCTTATACGATTTTTCTCCTGGGAAAGTGACTTCTCTCTGAGATTTAAAAAATATTATAAAAAAACATATTTCTTAATGTATTATAACTTTGCTGGCAACAAGTTGTGACTCACAGCTGGCTGGGAAATAAGAACAGATATATTTCTTCCAGGAACCGGCCAACGGCTCCTTGCAATTCTATTAACTATGTCAACACTGTCTCTCCATCAATCCCTTATGGTATTTTTGTTAGGTTCGCAGGTTTTAACCTTTTGACATTGGCAAACAATCACCTTAACGACTACAAAACAAAGCCAGTCAATTTCACAGTAGAGATWTTGAAGAAGAATGGAATTCTACCATTTGGCTATAGTTATGGCAGTCTTGAGAACGAAAAACCACAAGTAAGTAGTATTAAGTAAGAAGGACTTTCAGTATAAGGAAAGGAATCGCCGAGTCTTCCTAGCCAGTGTGGCTAGTTGTTATCTATCATTAAAAAATGTCCCGTGATTCGTGATCGGTACCTCTCTTCACCACCCWGTCGGTGATAGATCAGCGTTTAAACTGCGTCTGCGGATTTCACTTTGATGCGATGAAAGATGAGACATATCAGGGTCTTGGYATTGCATATATATTTCCACTATTGCGATAATGATGAGGAAAACTACGGGCGMTGTCATTTCATCAATAGAAAGTAGAAAATGAACTGCATGGACAGGAGAGCTCACAAACTCCGCCTTTATGTAGATATTGAGGATATTGAAGGCGCGTGGAGTCTTCGAGTGTTCCATAGATATCTCAGGAGTGACCAAAAAGACCATTTGTCCGTTGCCTGTCGCACTTGTCTAAGCGTGCACTGAAAGCATTTGAATATTCTCCATAAATGCAATTGTCTTTTCATCAGACTCCAGTAACGACTGAGGTTAATGGTATCAAGATTGGMTTTCTTGGATACTGTTCAACATTTCGGGAAAAACGGGACTCCGATGGAGACATTGTCTGTCACTGTGTCAAGAAACGCAGAGGTTTGGACGCTGGTCCWGCTATTTATAAAAAAGAAGCCGTAACAAGAGATGTCAACAATCTTAAGGTATGTCGACATCTTAAAGAATCGAAATCTCCATGCAAATACTATTAAAAGAATCTTTGCAATCTTTTGGATGTCGTCCGAAATATTTGTATTAAGAAACTTCTTGTTATTCTCTTCGTCTATAAAATCTTTGCAATTGTGGTTACATTTTGTCTTTGGCGACTCATCCGTTTTCTGGACATTACAATTSTTTTGTCGGCACAAACTCAAGTAGTTGCCCTTGACAACAAATCGTTTTAATTTTAATATAATTCCTCAAAGACGGAAATTTTAACTATATTTTTTGGTTGTTTTTTTTTTGTTTTGATTTTCTCTTTTTTTATCTTTTTGCTGACCTAAAAGTTGCTCTCGGTTGGAAAAACGCAAACTTTTCAACCCCCCTTACAAGACAAGTTGAATGATTTTATTTCTGCCATTAAATTGCGTTTATTCATATCAATATAATGATTGTGCATTGTAGAATAAACGTTTAGGTCGAAAGTCAATGTGACGGCAAAAATACTATGAAAAATCATTGCAAATCACAACTATATGACATGTTATAATCTCACAGTCAAAGGTGGATGTCATAGTTGTCTTCATGCACTGGGGTGCAGAGTATCTTACCACGCCCACTACATCACAACATCGCCAAGCAGCGCATCTAAAATCCCTTGGTGTCCATGCTATCATTGGAAGTCACCCCCATGTACTTGAAGGTCACACCMTTGAAAAACATACTCTAGTTGCATACAGTTTAGGAAACTTTTTGTTTGGACCGAAACGTAGAAACTGGGTAATAATTTGAATGAWAGCTACCTGTAATCTGTGGGATCATATATCTGCAGTCGTTGTCAAATGCCTTGGACCACAGATTTATTTTCTGGTTCAGCTAACATTGTAATGTGTTGTCTTTTAGTTTTTTTCACAATTCTCCACCTGATCCTCTTAACAATGTTGGGTCTTGTTTTGGATGATTGTGTACTATGGTAACATGCTCAATGACAACATTGCATTAAGGGGGTCAGGGGGGATGAAATTGTCTGTGGGTGTTGCTTAAAATGAGAAATTTCGCTGGAATAGTCCAAAGATTTTGGCAACGACTGTTTTCCCCTTGGAACTTTGGATCATGTTTTTGTACAGTAGGTCTAGCCAATGCACCTTGTAAATGGTCATCCTGGGGCAAGTAAAATAAATGGCTTGACTTTTCTTCTTTTATGCATTCCTGCTTCTTTTATGAGCAGAGATCAGAAGAAATCTTTATAACTATCTCGCTTTTCATTTTCCCTATTGTAAATTCGACTTCATATGCAAAAGGAATAGTACTAGTAGCATTAAAACAATGTTCTAGAAAAGGCTAGGCAACTTATGATGCATATAGACTAAAGGAAGAGCAATATATATTTCATACCTCAACTTCGAATATCATTGCAACTAATGTTCATGAATATTTTGGTTTTATTTTGAAAGAGGTTCTACTACCACAGAAATCCTTCTAYGAAAATAGTACAGGAGTTTGAACACTACATGGCAACAGATAGCAAAAAAGACAACTCGTTRAAATCGCGTATTCTGCGCGTGGAACTTAACAAGTAAGTTKAATCAGTCAACAAGCTATTGTCAATGCATAGAGCTATTTCAAAAAAMGWTGTCGGGGAGAACGGCGAGCGTCGATTGTCGAAAGGAGATTGCACGACCGGGGGCTATGGTTACACTGTTTTGATAAACAAAATTTCACTTATTGGATTCACCTTACATTGAAATGGAGACTAAATGGAGCCATTGTTTACCACAGACAATCTTATTACAGTACACATTAAATCAGTTGTTATTTCTATTCAACTAGCAAAGCCCATGGCTACTTTCGGTCGTGCAATCGCCGTTCGATCATTGACATTCGCCATTTTATCCGACAACCTTTTTTGAAATAGCTATATATAAGATGGCGGTGTTTGTTGATTCGCTATCTGGCATAGTCATGGAGTTCATATGTAGATCGTGTCAGGCTCGATGAATATCAGGAAAATATTGGTTTAACTTATTGAATGCTAGTCATGTGCCTGTGTTTTCAACACTTTGCTGCTATAGATGTCTTGGTAGAAATTTGTAACTTGCCAAAAGTTAGTGTTAACTCTGAGTCATTAGTCTGCGTTTGCAGAACAGCAAGTTTCAGCTGCAACYATCACAGCGCAATGCCCTCGATAGTTAACTGAACTTTGAAACATGTTGAAATAATTGTTCAAGAATTTCACTAAATGTTTGAGCAACAGGACTTGTTTGATGCATGTTTGAACAAATCTATTGCTCTTTCTCCCTATTTGAAAAGATAAACATTTTATGATGCTCTTTACCAGGAAAGGAGTTGTGCGCGCTGCTTACCAACCCGTACGAATTATAATGAACCAAAAGACGAAATGYTTTCAACCYACACCAGCCATGGATACAAATACGCCTTGGATTGCAATTTGTGAAGATAACGATAAAGCATGCTTGAACAAAACTTGATAGCGGACGAAAAATATTACGTAATATTACAACAGTGCAGATGGATTAGTAGAATTTATAGAAGATATTAAATTATAATTATAAGCCTATATAGCGAAATATCAAATCAGCCTCGTGGTTTAATAAAGCACAGTAAAATGAACAGCAAAATCGTCTAATTTGTCTCGTAACATTGCTGCAAAATAAGTTGGGGTGTTGTGTGTAGTACTACAGGCGAACCGACTTGTCTTGAGGCAAAATAGTTGTGTAAAAACATAAATTCAACACCGTAAAAATGTTGGTGAAACAACTTACTGATGTTTCTAACGTTATCCTTCGCCCTTTAATCCGACGAAGGATTAACGTCCGAAACGTCAGTAAGTTGTTTCACCTACGTTTTTAMGGTGTTGAATTTATCTTTCTACAMAACTGTTTCTTTAGAAAYACCGACGCAGCTCACASTRGTTWACCGCTAGTTTCCATAATTTATTGCAGGTTAAAAAGTTTTGCTGCWGATCGTTCTAATTTAATTTTTGCAACCAAATCYGTCGTTGCTGCGCTTATTACCACAACAACCCAACTTGTCTCGCAGCAAAATGACGTCGCGCAACAATCAGCTGACTCCATTGGCCAATCAGAAATAAAGATTTTTTCAACCTGCAACAAATTATTTCGATACGAGACAATTTTGTTCACCAGTAGTAAAGTTGCGTGTGAGATTACGAGACCGTATTGAATATTTTCCGATGCTCGGATCGATTGACGGCTCGGGTCAGTTCCTCATGGACTCAGCCTCATTGGCTGACATTATGATTGGGTGCATCCTGATTGGGTGACATTATGATACGTCATGAAAAACGTCACCGGTTGAAACTCCACCGGTAAATTTGTCCCCCTGCAATTCAGTAAAGTCGCGAATTGCCGAATTGCAAGAGCGTTGTATCGGAGAAAACTGATTAACAAGTCAAGTGCCGTACTATATATATGAGTGTATTGTAGATGGATTTATATATTATGTGGTATATTCGTGCTATAAGTTTACTGT